AGGAACTGCCGCACTTGCGTTTCATTTTCCAGCACCTCTGGCCAGTGCCGGATAGCTTCGATTTTGTCTTCTGCAGGTTTTATTCCTTCGGCAGTGATGGTATAACCCAAATATGTGATTGCTTGGCTAGCGAACTTGCATTTGCGGAATTTTTGGTAGAATTGGTTTTGCAGGAAAACACTGAAAACTTGTCGCAGGAGGGAAACGTGTCCAGGGAGGTCGGAACTATAAATAAGTACATCATCTAGGTACGCAATAACACTCTTTCCTAATAAAGGCTGCATATAGGCATTAATGTTGGCCTGGAACGTAGCTGGAGCACCCTTAAGGCCAAAGGGCATAACTCGATATTCAAATAGCCCAAGAACGGAACGGAAAGCCGTCTTTCAACGGTCTTCCTTAGCCATACGTACTTGATGGAATCCTGCTTCAAGGTCCAAAGTGGAAAAGTACTTGGCTCCTCCCAAAATCTCCAGAATGGTTTGAATGGGAGGTGATGGAAAATCAGGAGCGACTGTAGGAGCATTCAGAGCCTGGTAATTAACAACCATACGCGTCTTCCGCTCCCCAAAGCCATCATCACGCTTGTCGAACATTATCCTAGGAGAGCGGATAAGCGAATATGTTGGTCCGATCCAACCACTGGCTGCTAATTTAGCTATCTCCTGCTTGTGGGAATGTGAGCTGATCAGGGGTCATGCGGTAAATCGCAGATTTCGCTGGAAGTTTTCCAGGTACGAGTAGGATATGGTGATCATGAGGGCGCTTCGGCGGTAATCCTGTAGTGCCGAGGCACTACAATGGGGCTGACTAGTGTCCTAAAGATGATAGCTAGCTAGCGATCTGCAAGGGGCCGCGACACTGGAGGGGGATAGGACCCCCCCAATACATGAAAAAATAAGAAAAACCGTTAGTCAGTTCTAGTGAAAACGTGAAATGTGTGGAAATCGTGTGGAGACTGGGGCTGGCTATAGCGCCGGCACCAATGCGGACCTCCACCCCTAGGGTCTAGGGGGTAAGCTCCGAGAAGGGAACGAATCGAACAGAGAGATTGCGGAAACTTTTTGAATTGTCGTATTTCGACGGAATAAAGCAATAGAGACCGAGAAATGGGGCTATTCTAGGTGTAGTATGTAGACCTGTAGAGGGGCAGGAAGCAGCGTAGTCGCAGCAGTAGGCGCCGCGCACTACATTTGGGGGCTGTTCCGGGAATGAAATCCTTATTCTTTCCGGATTTGGGAGTATAATTACCTTGTTTTAATGCCACGCACCTAGAAATCTTTGCTCGGTAAGGGATGCACCTCCGCAACGGACGCGTCATCGGTCCCACACCACAGGAGACTCCTACAAAGTCGGTCAACAAGTTGCTGAGCGGGACACCAGCCCATCATCGCCACGCGACTCCGAAACCCACCGTGGCAGAGCGGTCGCATGGGCATAAGGAGACGCCCCCGCAGGAGACACCTTTGCCTAACGTCACGCCAGGGGACAGTCCCATCGTCACCTGGAACCAATTCCAGTCTGCAATGAGTGTGATTAGAACTTTAATAGGGGGAGCCAGAGCATCCGGTGCAACGACTCTTATACTACCTGAAGACGGCAGCACTATGAAGGCCTTTCTGAAGCGCATCGAGCGCCAGTACCCCCAAATGGGATTGGAACCGCGCGAGTGGGGAGATGCACTCATAGACCACCTTGTGGGCCCGGCTCTAACTTTTTGGATGTATCTACAGGAAACTATCGACCTAAGTAACTGGGCAACAGTACGGCGCAGGCTTTTGGAGCGGTTTGACAGAACAATGTCACAGAGTCAATTGTTAACGGAGTTAACAAAGGTACGGTGGAATGGCGACCCGAAGGAATACACCGACCACTTTGCGGCGGTGGCAGAACGGGGGTTGGGTCTATCCCCCGACGAAATCGCGGACTACTATTGTGCCGGGCTACCGACAGACCTCCATCTCCTAATCAACAATAAGGGTCACGTGAAATACCAGTCGTGGGAACAAGCGGCAACCGCCGCAGCGCGGATCTACGAGCCCAAGCAGAGTGTGCTGGAACTCCGAGAAAGGATCAACCGAGCCATTAGGGCGGCCGCCAAGCTAAGGGACTGAATGGGCGCCAGGAAATTGAAAATCGTTCTGGGGGAACCCACGCTAACTGCTTTGAGTGTCAGGGCCGCGGACATCCGGCACGTGCCTGCCCTAGCAAAGGGGAAGGTACCAGACGTCCGGGGGAAATCTGCAAGAAGTGCGGCGATGTCGGACACTATGCTCGGGACTGCCCTACGTATGAACGAAGTCGGCCCGAGCAGGTGGACAAGGGCAGTAGAGCTCTCACCCGTTCTAGCACTGAGAAGACGGAACGATCAAACTTGCGGGCCTAGGCGTGGGTGGAGACGAGCGTTCTAGGCCGCGTAGCCATGGCAAAGGGATGATGTGTCCGGTAGCGACAGGCCCTAATGCCATTCCAGTCTCCCACGATATGGGAAACCAACACCTCCGCACTGCGGCAGGAGCCGATAAGAGCGACGAGCGAGAGGAAGGGACTCAGCCGCTTCCGGAAACGCGATGGGAGTCTGGGTCAGAGTCGACCCTGAGTGAAGAGACTCCGGACGCGACGATGAATAGCAGCAGGAAGTCTGCACAGGCGACACAAGACAGAAATAGGTCAGACGCGACAGAGATTGTGCCACACTGGTGGAGGGAGACTTGCATGAAAGAGTCTTACGATCAAGGGGGAGCGTTGTGCTGTGCGGGTGCGACGGTGGTACTTCGCGTTGAGCTTGTAGGGAGTCCTTGCGAGGCCCTCTTGGACACTGGGGCTTCTAGAAGTTTCATTAGTCCTAAATTGGTCGAACGACTGCAGCTGAAAGTGCGGAGACTACCAAAGGAACATAGGTTCACCATAGCTACAGGTGCATAATTACGCATTGATCGGCTAGTGACGGGATTGACATTGTGGTGTGGACATGTACGTTTTTCCGGGGACTTTTTAGTGGGAGCCGTTCCCAATGACGTAGTCTTGGGTTTGGATTGGCTGACGGAACACAAGGTGGTCTGGTATTTTCAGTCTGACAAACTCTGAACCTATGTGAATGGCCAGTGGTGCGAGTTACCAGTCGTTCGGACTGGTGAAGCAACGCTGCAAAGTGATAGCCCCACCGTAGTCCACCCAAGGACCCCAGCAGAGCAAGCATATGAGATATTGGCCAAACAAGTGGCAGGTATGTCAGCCGAGGAGGCAGCTATATTCCTACTCCCGCCTCCAAGAAGGTATAAGTCCCACGCGAAGACTAAGGCCAAGGCGCGGATAACGTCGCTCGTTCGTCAGGCGGCGGACGATACTAACGATCTCAAGACTCCGTTGCACGGTTTGCATCTCATACTGGCTTTGCCCGAGGCCTGTTCGGCAGTGCGCTTAAGACTCTCCGATGAATGGCAAGGCGCGCTTTGTTGCGCGTTGATAGAGAGTCAACCCACGTCCTCCGGCTGCCGTAGTCCTTTGCCCTCAACCGCCTCGGTGACAGCGGAGAGTGATGAGGAGTCTCCCTGGCCTATGGCAAATCTCGAGCACACTCTATTCGACGAATGGATCAATTCAACTGAGGCGCAGGATATTCCAAGTGAGGTTGCTCAGGTGCTGCACGAGTATCGGGCGGTTTTTCCCGATACCTTACCTAAAGGCTTACCTCCGAAGCGTCCTCATGATCATCATATTCTCCTGGCGCCTGGAAAACTCCCAGCGAGATCTGCAATCTACCGTATGACCCCAGATCAGCTCACTTTCCACAAACAGGAGATAGCCAAATTATCGGAATATGGTTGGATCGGACCGACCTACTCGCCTATTTGCTCTCCTACGATCATGGTGGACAAACGTGATGATGGTTTCGGGGAGCGGAAGATGCGGATGGTTGTCAATTACCAAGCTTTAAATGCGCTTACGATAGCCCCTGATTTTCCACAACCTCCCATTCAAACCATTCTGGAGCTGCTCGGAGGCGCCAAGTATTTTTCCACCTTGGACATGGAAGCAGGATTCCATCAAATACGTATGGCTAAGGAAGACCGGTGGAAGACGGCTTTCCGGTCCGTTCTCGGGCTATTCGAGTACCGCGTGATGCCCTTCGGCCTTAAAGGAACTCCCGTTACGTTCCAGGCCAATACTAATGCCTATTTACAACCCTTATTGGGGCAGGGCGTTATTGCGTACCTGGATGATGTACTTATCTATAGTTCTGATCTCTCTGAGCACATCTCTCCTCTGCGACAAGTCCTAAGTATTTTTCTTCGACATCAGTTCTACCCAAAATTCCGCAAATGTAAGTTTGCACGGCAAACCATTACTTATTTGGGTTATACTGTATCTGCTACGGGGATCAAACCCGCAGAAGACAAAATCGAAGCCATCCGGCATTGGCCAGAGGTGCTGGAGAACGAAACGCAAGTGCGCCAGTTCCTCGGTACCATAAATTACTGTCGCATGTTCATGGGACCAGACTATGCCGACGTTGCCCGGCCGCTGGTTGATCTAACGCGTAAAGACGTCAGTTTCAAATGGACAGAGCTTCACACGCAAGCGGTGCGGCAGCTCAAACAGCGCTTAATAAACTTCAGTACCTTACAGGTCCTTGACACGACGAAGCCCTTCGAGTTATACACAGATGCCTCTGGTTACGCAGTCGGAGCAGTTCTCGAACAAGACGGTAAACCCATCGGCTTCCTCAGTCAAGTCATGAACCCCACGCAACAAAGATACTCGATCTACGATCAGGAACTCATGGCGTTGGTCACGGCGCTGGACAAGTGGTCGCACTTGCTCCGTGTCTCCAAGGTGACGGCTTTCACCGATCATCAAGCTCTAACCCATCTCCAACGACTCCAAGCATCGAAGCCTCTGCGCGGACGCACCGCCCGGTGGCTAGACTTCCTTGCGGAGTTCCCGGATTTGCACATCACGTATGTTCAGGGAGCGCGCAATCAAGTTGCCGACGCCTTGTCTCGCCGTCCCGGCCTCTCTAACTCCTGCTAGCACGACACACCATCGGCACCGCTGATGCTCGCAACAGGAGAAGCGAGCGCGGCTTCCCGCTCTCGCGGTCCGCCTCCCAACTATCGCGAGCTCGCCGGAATTCGTCCGCGCTGCCCTCGATGACACATCACGCAGTCTGCGCCTTCCCCTGAGCCGCAGGAACCCAACCCAGAGCCGGAACCTCCTACCCTTACAACGAAGGCACCCGCTGACCCCCCTGACGTGCGCCATTGGCCGCAAGCGTACTCGAAGTGTCCTGTTTTTCGAGTTCCCTACGAAGCCGCGGCAAACCAACCAGGAGAAGCTCTGCAAATCGAGTTTTGCCATCGCCAATCTACCTTTCGCTACGTAGAGCCTTCCTGCACATCCGCGTTCATGGACTGTGGCGCATCTGCGTCCCCCAATTCCCTGAGTTCCTTACTCACGTTCTGCATTCGCAACACGACCATGTCACAGCCGGCCATCGAGGCCAGAAAAAGACCTTTGCGGCTCTCAGCAAGCATTACTACTGGCCTGGAATGCGTGCCTACACCACCGCTTATGTTGAGTCATGCACCCACTGTCGCGCTTCAAAATCCTATTAACCAGAAGCCTGCAGGCCTTCTTCAACAGTTGCTCATCCCTTCTCGTCGATGGGCGCACGTGAGCCTCGATTTCATCATAGATCTTCCCCTTACAACGACCGGGCACGACTCGATCCTTGTCATGGTCGACTCCCTCAGCAAGATGGCTCATTTCGTTCCTGCAAAGAAATCATTCACAGCAGCAGACACCGTGGAGCTCCTCGCAGACCGCCTTATCCGCTACCATGGTTTTCCAGAGGCGCTTATATCGGACCGAGACCCCCGTTTCCAGTCGGACCTTTGGAATCAGCTCTGCCGCCGCTTTAACATCAAACGGTGCATGAACGGTGCATGTCCTCGCCCTACCATCCCCAAAGCGACGACCAGACTGGACGAGTGAACCGCACATTGGAGCAGATGCTTCGTACCTATATCAAATCTGAGGAACGCGAATGGGAGCGTTTGCTTCCGGCCTTGGAACCTGCCTACAACACCACAAGTCATTCATCCACTGAGCTCTCTCCCTTCGAGGTCATGATTGGCGAGAACCCGTTGACGGCTGCGGACCTTGATATCGTAGGCGCGCTAGCTCCTACACTCACTCCCCCGATGACTAAGCTCTTCCGACAGCTCTACGACAGGGCACAGAGCCACATCCTGAAAGCAAAATCGGACTGAAAATGCCAGGCCACCTTATGTTCAGTCAGCCAATCCAAACCCAAAACTAAATCATAGGGAACGGGTCCCACTAAGACGTCTCCGGCGTGTCCACACCACATCGTCAACCTCGTCACAACTCGATGAATGCGCAATTGTTCACCTGTAGCAACAGTCAGCCTATGCTCTTCTGGAAGTTCCCGCACCCTCAGCTGCAATCGCTCGACTGTTCTAGGATTAATGAAACTTCTCGAAGCACCTGTGTCTAAAAGCACCTCGCATGAACTTCCTGCAAGCACGAGAAGAAACGACTTATATGAAATATGGTTTTCAGAACTCGAAACAAAAACGGTCTTTTTACGCGAGCGATGCGTCGGTAGTAGAGAATATTTCATAGAACGCCCGAGTTGTGGGCTGTGCAGCATCGTAGACGCTGCAGAGAACACAGTGTACTACAATTATGGGGGGCAAGCGCGATGATAGCTTGGGGGGGCGGAAGATGCGTATGGTTGTTAATTACCAGACTTTGAATGCCCTTACGACATTTCTGATTGTCCCCCACCTCCCATTTAAACCATTCTGGAGACGCTGTGACGTGCCAAGTACTTTTCCACTCTGAACCTGGAAGTAGGATTCGCTCAAACACGTACGACTAAGGAAGATCGTTGGACGACGGCCTTTCGTTCCGTCCTGGAGATATTAGAGTATCTAGTTATGCCTTTTAGCCTCAAGCGTGCGCCAGCCACCTTCCAAGCCAACTGTAGTGCATAGCGTTTTATGCTGCGATGACGCTGCTACCTGGCCCACGAATAGGGTGCCCTTTGAAAAACCTTCTACTTTCGACGCATCTCTCATGAAACAAGTACCAAATTGTCAATAATAGTGGTCATCTTTCAAATTCTAAAACCGATCTCCATTGAAGTTCCCGCCACTCACGACTCTTCCTTTTTTTGCCCTGTGGGGCAGTGGCCCGCACCGGTGCCGGCGCTATCGCCAGCCCCAATCTTCGGGTACTCACAGACACATCTAGCTTGCACATGCTAATTTGCTGACATATTGCCCTACTTCATTACTAGTAGAAGAAGTTCCTGCCCTCATTCAGCGTGTTAACATCTTGCAGGTTATCTGCTACCTTTCCTTTTAAGGTAACCAGCAAGCCCTATTCTAGTGCCTGCGCACTACAGGGAAAGTGAAGCTTATTCTTTGTTTCTCTGTCTTTGCTTTACGGCGACGCAGACAATTTCGGTCCCGTATTTCATTGCAAAATTTCCAAAAGTTTGATTTCTCATGGCTGGCTGAAACAAGTTCAAAATTATGAATCTAGTCGAAGTTAGAATATGTTGGAACACTAAGTCTTTCATACCCGGTCAACCCAACCGACATGAAAACACTTATTGTAGCGAAATCCGCTCAAAAGTGCGGAACGATGTTTCTGCTTTATCTAGCGATTTGCGTCACTCTTTTCAGATGGTTCTGTAGCCCCACAGAAACGGCAGCTTCATGCACGCCAATCCTACTGAATGCCTTTATTTGCGCCTTGAGGATCTCCCCAGAATTTGGAATGGCAGGTTATTTATTTTTCCCCGAGGTAAATGTGTTACTGCATTGCCAAGACACTCGTTGAAGTGCAACTTGGCGTAGTGAACATGTAGCTCCAGGCTTTCTGAATAT